GAGTTCTTGCTTCTCTCCCGCATAAACGCGAACCATAAATTGACCTTACCTAAAATGGTTAAAAATTGTTTATAATCCCTGCTAAACTTTAACTGAAATGGTTATGGAACTTTACATGAACGTTTAATGATAAAGTTTCAACCTTATGTATTATTGTTATTTGGAACTGGACCTTACAAATAATGGGTTGTTAAGAACCATTACCGTTCCAAATTCTTGTTTTCTCCATACATTTTCGGAAAGAGAACTATATTAGAACCTTTTAACTAATGGTTTGAGAACTTTAATGGTAATGGTTATGGTAGTCAATAAGGTCCACGAATGGTTTTTTAACATCGATCAACTTTATGTGGAATATATCGCGAATTGGTTACCTGTAATTTACTGATTACCAATTCACGATATATTCCACGTAAAGTTGAGCGATAATACAAAACCATTAATGGACCTTACTGCCTACCATAACCATTACCATTAATGTTCTCAAATCATAAGTAAAAACGTTCTTATATAGTTCTCTTTCTGAAAATGTATGGAGAAAACAAGAATTTGGAATGGTAATGGTTCTTAACAACCCATTATTTGTAAGGTCCAGTTCCAAAAAACCATAATACATAAGGTTGAAACTTTATCATTAAACGTTCATGTAAAGTTCCATAACCATTTCAGTTAAAGTTTAGCAGGGATTATAAACAATTTTTAACCATTTTAGGTAAGGTCAATTTATGGTTCGCGTTTATGCGGGCTGGTAATGGTTCACAAGCAGAGAGAGTTGTTCCCGTTTCGTCAATCGTTGCGTTTTCGATTGTTTGATCTGGAGATTCTGAATAAAATGAACTGAATGCTTGAAGAGACGGATGTTCAGCAGTAAGGGTGGTTTGTGTCTGTTCTTGGAGAGACCGATTAGTTTCCGTAAACGAGCTACTACCAAACCTATCGGGTGGAATGTCCAGCAAAGCAGCTGCATCTGCAATTATTATTTGAGCGGTGCTTTACACCATGAATATTAACAATATGATTTGCTTACCGATTAGCATTTGAAGCTTAGAAAAGTCCATGATTTGAATGTTGCAATGTTGCAAACATCAAAATTAAATCCGCAATTTAAAATGCTGTCGCAAAATTAAAACCAATCCGCACTAGCTTCTATCTTGTTCACTTCTGTTTTGTAAACAACTTTGGTTTCGCCTGTTCATTGGCATCCTTTCAAATTTCGCCCTATGCTGGTATAAACAAAGGAAAGGGCGCAACCTATTTTTATTTTTGTTTAGAAATACATTGTGTTGCGTCCTTCGCTATATATGAATTTTTCAATAGTGGAAAATAGAAAAACATATGTTGTTGGAATGTTGTAGCAGACCGTAGACTGCTTCGTCTGATGGATTAAAATCTTTATTTGTTTACATTTTGCTAGTTTCGCCCTAATCACAATTTACTCCGGAACTATCATTCAAGACCAACAATTAAATAGGTCTCAACTCCATTTTGTAAACAAACCATTTTTTTTGTAGGGCCATTTTGTCGCGAACCAGAGTCCGCCAACGCAAACCAACAAACTGAACATGTTGGGGAAATTTGCTTCGTGGGAAAATTGCCTCACATGGTTTGTTTACAAAATGGAGATGAGGCATTTTCAATTGTTGGTCTTGCATTCTTCGAAGCCTCGGTTGAAGACAGATCGATCCCTCTTGATGCAATCGACCCGATCCACTGGATTATCAATGGTATCAATCAGGTTATACTGGAACCACATGTAACCCTAGAATCTACTAAACAATTGTGGAGACGTTGTCCTCATGAAATGAAATAGTGTAGTAGCCTATATGTTGGTTGGAGTATCTTCTTTTGTCAATGCGCTGAAAAGCGGATTTAATTTATTTTTCTATTCAAATATTTCAGGATTTCTTCAATTTATCTTGCGAACTTCCACCTGAATTGTTGTTTGGAATGTTTCATTTTACATTTTATGTGTTGTCATGCGAATATGAAGGCGATTTTGGTTTAGTGTTCGAAAATCAAAAAAGCAGCTGTCAGTGACGATTGTCAATGAACCACTTCATTCGAGCAGTTAAAATGACGTTTACTATCACTCGAACTTTGACATTATTTTGAGTCTTTTTCTTCTAGAACCACGAGAAAAGTAATCTACTGAAACCTGGCCGTAGGCCTATGCTAGACCGTATAGCATAACGACCTTCTTCCACTAGCAGGCCTATTTCTGTTTGCACAGACAGTCCCACTAGTTTCCGATACATTTATAGGGGATAGTAGGAGATTAAAAGAATGGAGAAGAGCTATAGAGGTTTTTGGTTGTTGTTTTGCTGAAAAGAGAGAAACAGAACTAAACGAAATTACACCTACTGAAAAAGATAAGTCTATTATTTTGGTTAGTGATCGTTTTTGGGTCACCCCACGTTGTGTTTAGGTTAGTATAAATAAACAATACTATATAGTCATATTAATCACCACAGCTAAATATAAATATATAATAAAGTATATAATTAATAATAAGTAATGTGAGTATTATTGTACAAATTACAATACAGTGTAGTAGTTACCTCATTATCTTCAGCGCCATCAGTTTTTGTTTCTGGATCTTTAGTTGCCTCTGTGATATACTTACTTGCGGCATACTATTTTGGGAGTGTATATAAGCGTGTACCATGTACGGTAGCTCATCTCTCATCGTGATGGTGGGACATAGTAGACAAATTAGAGAGAAAACAAGGAGGTATTAGTATTAGTTATATGTAAACAAACAAAACAAAAGAAGAGAAGAGGAAAGAAGAGCAGAAAAATAAAAAGGGGATAAAGTAGATAACAAAGAAAAGAAACGTAGGCAGATTATTAGAAAAGGCATTATCCGAGACTCAGCAATCAAATGTCACTCCCGCCGAGATCTCAGCGAAACCCTCCCCGCCGAGACTTGCACAGCCGAGCTCGGTAGAAAAAACTAAGTGTGTAGATAGATTAGTAGGAAAATAAATAAAACTACTTTATGACTCAAAGTGCAATGAATGAGCGTTAGTTTCGGGAACATTTCAGTGTTAGAGTTATGTTACTTTTGATCCGTAATCAGCCCTGCCGGCCCCTCCAACATTAGTTGCAGGCAGGGGTTGTTAGATCATGCGGCACTGTAACTACTACTATTTTAGAGGTATGATTCGTCAAGTTTATACAACTCAATGTTTCAATTGAGGCAAACTATCTATCTTACAATTACAAAAGCAAACCTAAACTTACAATTATATGCAAATGCAAAATGAAACTTGACAAATCATCTTCAATCCCCTTATTCCAGGGCAGGGTCTGACGATTTGAATCTAATTTTGATCAGTGAACGGGCACCATATGGTACATTTTTTCACTAGGAACCTATCATTTCCAGCCTATCTGAACTATTTAATAACATAGGTTACGCTCCTTCTAAGCGGGCCCTCCGCATCCTATCTCTGTCTTATCTCAAATACAAAATACCAATGGTATGAATGTATCTATATATAACTTGGAAATGACGTACAATCAAATAAACCCGTAACCCACTCACTTGGCCAGGCTTCAGAATCGTCCAGTGGGCAGTGCGCTCTACACTCCAAGTTCCCTTGTTTTTCAATTTTACCGCAAATTTGATATTTTACCCATTGAGTGTTGATTAATCACAATGAAACATTGTGACAGAGGTTGAGGTTACTAGTGTATTAAATAATCTAGGTCCTATTTAGGATCATATCTGAAAAATCCAAATCTGGCCAACGCCCACCCTAAACCTAAACCTGTTCTAATCCACCTGAAATGACTAACGAATGGAAGACTTTGACCACCCAGCCATGCAATAGTCTCATTCCGTGCCTTATGGCAACTTAATGATTCTATTGCTTCTATTGCGCTCATCTTCTGGCACCACCCAGGGGAGACTTGGTCCTGTACCCAATGCTTAACTTATCTCCATTCCACTCAGCTACTCGCAATTTCTTGTGATATAGTGGGCGGAATATTATGATATGAGACAATTCATTGCAGACGTCTTTCCAAATTTGGCAGATCGACAGTGAGTTACCACGAAAGTTGCTATTCAACAACTCGACAACGTCCCATCGTCAACGCCTGCTATGAGAATTTTCGATTGCAGACGCCAACGAAATGACGTCATCGAGCTATCGATCAACTACCCTGGTTATCGCCTGGTACCTTATAGCACGATGCTAGAAGGCGAACCGGAAGAATTGATGAGCTACCTCCTCCATCAATATTGACTTAACTTATTGCTGCAATTTTGTATAGATTTGGTTGAATTGTACTTCAAGCTTAGGTTGGCCGTCTTCCCCTACTATTAACATCTCCTCTCCTGTGACATTTGTGGGGACGCAGAATAAGTATACACAATTCTCAAAACAGCAACGTTCACCTACTATTTAATTTCTACTCCACTTGATTGCAAGGACGTGGCCGGTGCCATTATTGATCTTCAATTATGGAGTCACTGAAACAAGCACAAAGCGAATGAACAGTCACTCTTAACCCCATTCAGTTGATCCAGTGAACCATTTCACTGATTCTGATCAATCACGGAGTAGCAACCATTGCAGCCAGTCTACGCTGATCTAAGGTACTCAATTATTCATGGATTTCGAAGTTTCTCTTGAGTGAGTGCGTAATATTTCATTAGAAAAGTTTCTTGTTTTTATTTATTATTCTTGTGATATTCTCGTATAACTCATCGCCATTTTTTTACGGGAACAAACGGTGTGTAATACTACTATCCATGATCTTCCTATGCCTAAATTATCAATAAATATTTAGATCTACATTAACCTATCCAAGTAACTAATTTAAACTTTCACAATCGATTTCAACAGATATGATGGGCTTTAAAAAAACACTAAATTCTTTCTTTATACAACTGCGACTGCTCTCTGTCACCCAAACAGCGACCATAATGCAGACAAAAAAAAAAGGCAGTCTCAAACTCCATCGAAGTGATTCTTTTTTTGTTTTAAAGCAGACAAGTATTGGACGAATAAAAACTATAATCGACTTGAGCTCCACTATTTGCTTCGGCATAAAGCACTCATTCAAAGGATATACTGTTATAGACGCTTTCTCATCTTTCATTTCCTATCACTCTCCCGCTAAAACTCAAACACCAAACCGATTGGAAAAATATAAAGGAAAACAAAACCTCTGTTATCATTACTTTTCTCTGATTTTCTTTTTCTAAATTTACACTAAAATTAGTATCAGTCCTTTATGAGTGTTTTTTTCTTGTATTATTCAATTCACCGTCATTCGCTGCGTGACGCATTACTATTATTATTGGTAATAGTAAAAATGAGTTTAAATAGACTTATGAAACTCAGTCTAGGTGCGAACCGTTAGCGATTTTCTATGTACAGTCAACAAGCGTCCCGTGGAACGTGCACGATGGCCCTAGTATGCAGTAGGTGTGTGTGTGTGTGTGTGAATCTTGTTTCGAGGGTATTCTGTACTCTGTGTTGAAAGTTCTGAGCTGGAATAAGGATAATCGTTGACCTCAAGCGAAGAAATTGTTTTCCGATGTCGCAATTGTCGTGAAACAACGTGTCACGCCATCAGTGAGCTTCACACTGTTCGTTGACATGGTCGCGTGCGACCACCGGAACGATGTGTTGCAACTCTGGTAAATCTGTGTGATATTGTTTTTATGTCATCGACTATGACTACTACTAATCGGAAACGGAGGAACTGGATGTCGAGTTGTCCAAGCGCTGCGCGGACGTACTGGCAGTTTGACTTTCTGTGAATTGCAGGAAATAGAATAAAGGAAATTGAAAATTGAGTTCTGTCCGTCGAAAGAAAAAAAAACAACCGCTTACGGGTACAATGAGTTAGGCGAAAGCAAGCAAGGGTTCGGTGATTAGTGGAAGGATATGAGACGGACATAATGGTGATGTATTAACTTTAGGGACAATTTTAAACAGAAATGGCATCACAAATATATTTAGAGAAGTTTGAACAGTGGGCCAGTACAAATCCAGAATAAGCCAGGAGTAGGCACCATAGGCTCACACATGAGTTTTTTAGTTTTGAGGATTCCTAGAAATCTTTAAGCTGGAAGCACCGTGTGGTGCCCGTTCACCGTTCACTTTAGAGCAAAATCAAGTTCACATCGTTAGTAAAATTACTTTTGATAAATATATTGAACCCTTTTCTGCACTAGAAGATCATTATCATAAGATTGTGGATTACATATACATACATCCAAAACTATGCTGTTAAAATTAAGTTCGAGTCATATTAGTGCATGTAACCAGGGGTCCCATTCATCGCCCATGTCGTAGTGGAAATATTTACTTTTTGAACTGTCTATATTTTTGGCCATTTAATGCATTATATGGATTGTAAGTTATTAAGGTAGGGTAAGATGGGGCAAGATAGGTCATCTACCTAATTTATTAATTTTATTGATTGTCAACATCGACAAGCTTAATGTAACCCCAATGCTGGTTTGAAAAAGCAAACCATCATTGACGTTCCATTGAACCTGTTGAATTTAACAATTAAATAAATTAACAAATGTACTAGCTGACCCATCTTGTTCCATCTTACCCTATTAGATATTGATTAAACATTCGCCTTTGTTATGAAATACTGGAAGTAATGTCTATTTTATGTTTATTTTTGGAGTGAGCGGTGAAGGGAACCCTTGATCGTTGTTGGGCCAAGTGCTGCAAAATCTCAACAGTACACGGGGATCTTGACAATACAGCTTTGGTCACTCATTTGAGCTAACAGTCACAGTCAAGGCAAACCATGTCAATTGTCAGTGATGAACATGTGTAGATTTTTGTATTAACTAAATTTTTAATGAAATTAAATGACTTGAGCAACACAATTACATGGAGCCGTTAATGTGAACAAGCATCTACGTCTACTCGCTAGATGCTCATCTCAATAGAATAAACCTCGTGGACAGCAACATCTGTCGGTGTGGAAACGGTTACGATGACATCGATCACGCAGTTTGGCAATGTACGGATAATGACGCCGCCAGAGAGCGACTTTTGAATACCCTCGAGGCCCAAGGAAGACAACCCTATATCCCTATCAGAGACGTGTTGGGTACCCGCGATCTCTGCTATATGCAGTCGATTTATGTGTTTATGCAAATGTCTAGTATAAGAATTTAATTCGTTTGTCTTTTGTATCTCTTTATTCGTTTTTGTTTGTCTTGTCCCCGTCTCGATGAGTCTCATCGTCGCCCACTGGTCACCATAGCCGGTCGAACTCCAGACGAATCTAGAACCACACTACCATTCATAATGGCGACATCACTCTGATGAGACAACGAAACCCTACCCCAAGCTCCTCCCCTTTTCCTATCCTTCGACAATGTACCCCTCTAACCTCGAGTAAGCCGCGAATATTCGGCCCAACTCCTACTAGACATAGAATTAAGTGAATTTTGTTACAAACAAAGAACAATGAATTATCGGCTCCGTAAAGCTAACGCGATTGAGCCTTACAAATAAACGAACTAGATTAAAAAAAGCATCTACGTCCTACTTGTATAACATTAATGTGACACAGAATGTACTCTATTACACTTTTTGTTACCAGGTGAAATGTCATAGACGAAAAATGAATGAGATTTTGACGAACAGTGGAATAAAAGCACCGTTAAACGGGGTAACTTTGATAGTTTTTTTTTTCAGGTATATTCTACATATTTTTACAACACCTTTTTTTTAATCGAGTACTGTGAATCCTAGAGTCAATTCATTAGTAATACAGTACTTGTTTGCTAACTGGGCTGCTTTTTAACTGGGCGCTCGTTAACTGTAGCCCAGTTAAAAAGCAGTTATGCGTCAAAAATAGACGTCACATTTAGTTTGGCATTTAGTTGTGATAATGTAAATAAATTTGAAATTATTTTCATTTCACACTGAAATCAAGATTTAAAAGCGTTATGAACAAAAGCATTAAACCTTTCTAAACTAGTGAGTTTGAATGCTCTGAAAATAACAATAACAATTCAATGCACATGATTGTTTTTAACGTTGATCAAACAATCCATTGTGTAGTATATGTGACATGGTAGTGATTAAAGAAAAATCAATTAACCTTCATTTGGTGTGAAGTCAGCTAATTGAATATGGCAGCACTGAGCGTCGACGTACACGAATAGTTTATAGATCTTTTTGACGTTTAACCATCTTTCTCTATCTCAATGACGTTTATATAAGGTCTGGGCCAAAGGGCTTATTGGTGTTAGTGAAATGTGCAAATGGTTAGTGGTGTTCGTATTATATTGCAATGTTTATCTTTTTACACGAAACAGCTGTTGGCAGTGACGTATATCTATCTGTTCTCAGTATGTTGGCAGTGACGTATATCTATCTGTTCGCAGATGTTCAGCAATGTTTACAACATTTTTGCTTCTAACACCAGCAAGCTGCCTGTTGGCCCAGACCTTATATAAATGTCATTGTCTCTATCTAGCACGCATGGTTGAATGGACGGTTTGTTTTCCCACTAATCTGTTTCCCTCTTGCTCGCACTCGTTCGCTTTAAATGGTACAGTAGTGTGCGCCGATTAAACGTCAAAAAGCTCTATTGACAGATACGCACCGAGATTGGATTGAACTTTGTTACGTTTTAGATTTGGGTTGTAATTTTTTCCTGTGTTTGGTAAAAACGAGTAATTTTACACAATTGCTGCTTAAACACATTCGAACGTGCATAAACAAAATATGCTGCAGAGGTCACATCGCTTGACAAGGAACGAGCAACGCAAATTGTTTTGACGAATAATGATTCAGCATTGAGTCTGCTGACTGTGCTTCCGCACGCACACACACATCCACATCAGCCTGTACCGGATCCGTCGAACACAGCGAAAGGCAGAAGTGAAAAGATTCCCGTGCAAACAGCACGCAAAAGAGCGTGGGTCGGAAAAGAACCCGAAAATATTCGTTTCTTTGGTTGTCGCGAGTGCGAGTAGAGTGCGTGGTGAAAATTGTTCTTCGTCGGCGCGCGGGCTGCAATTTCGGCGGTGAGTGGTGCCAAAACGACCGCCTTTCGATCCGACGGATATCGGAAGATTGCGGCAGTGTCCAAAAGATCCGAAACGAAGAGATCTGCAAACGGCCCGCTTGGAAACGGCGCGGCAATCAAAAGATTTTCGCCACACAAAGCGTACATACCGGCAGCGAGAAGAGGTACCATAATTTCGGTACATAAAATAACCATAATTAAAGTACCATAACCACAGGTGCACGTGGAGAATTGACGACAATCAGCAGCACGAGATCCGATCGCACGGACAGCGCCCGGCCGCGGTGGATCGTGGCATCGAAAGACGAAGCCTTCAAAAGAAGTGAGTGATTTAAGACGAAAGGGTCGTCGCATTGAAGCTAATGGAAGTCGTTCCAGGGCTTTTGTTCCATACTTTCAGCACCTCATTGGATCGGATTGTCTCGTGATCGTGACACGTGGTCAGTGTCGAAGCCCGCATCACCTGCGGAACCCTCAGGCGAGGTTTATTCTCCTCGGAGTGCTTGCGACATCGAAGCGACGGGGCACGCCGCTAGCAACTAGTGGTCTCGAGGGAAGCGACGTCCAACGTGGAGGGAAACGAACCCGCGAGCACTTACGTTGATATGATCGACGGAGTTTCGAGGAGTGAATCCCCACCCAGAGCGACGGCAGGAGCGCAGGTGTGTTGTGCGTGTGGAGCCGAACAGACGTGCGAATAGCAGCAGCATCGAGACGGCGTTTGTGCGACGGTAAGGGTGCACCCGACCGGCAAAGTGAGTACTCATAAGAAGAAAAATTGACATAGTTGGAAAGATGATAGGAGGCACAAGGTTGCCGGAAAAGTACGAAGGATAGAGAGAGGAAGAAGTGGAAGTAGGAATCAGGAGTGGGAATGTGGGAGAATGGGTGCGAATGAATAAATGTTAAACTGTTATTCGACACTCTTTTGCTTTGGTTGGAGCAAATGCCGATTAGTGTTTGTGTTTTGTTGGCCCTACGGTAGTTCTGCTCCACGATGGAAAATGAACAGGTGGGCAGGAACTCACAGTCTCCCAGTGTTGGTGAGTTCTTTGCCGTTAATGTTCACGAAAAGTTCACTATTTTGCTATACAGAAATTCAAAACAAAAATTTTATCTGCGGATTTGAACAGTTTTTGACCTGTTTCATACTACCGGAAGGTGTATGCTGGTCACAAATGCCGTGCCAAACTGATTTCCTACTCAATTAATCAATCTTTGATGTGAAATTCGCTAATAAACACGAGGCGCATTTCGTATAGCAAACATGCCATAAGAAAATGGGCATGGTTCATTTAAGTAAACAAACTAACACTTCTTCCGACTGTTACACCTATGTATTAGCCGTCTCGGTTCTGCTCTACCGCTACCGGGGAACTTGTAACAACTTGAGCTTCGGAAAGCTCCGAATACACGAATATGAGCCGTGACTGTTCACTGTGTATACACTATAGTGACAATCGAAGATCGGCTTCGAAACGACGAATGCAGGCATAACATTTCATAACGGCACAAAAGCATTTGTAAACAAACTTTTTAAGGCCCTTTACACGCGAACCAAAGTACGCCCACGCAAACCAATACCACTTTCGGAAAGGTGACAGTTGCCCCTATCTGACGATGTGCATAAAATGCGAAGTGAGGGAGATGAAATGAAGAATTGGAATAAGCCCTTGGATTGGAAGAGTGCGACACGATGTGTGAACTAGTCAATCCTGGGGTGGGACGTGCTGTCAAATCAGCCTATTGATCATTCTTGTATGAAATTGGTTCCAAAAGTAAACAAACCCTGTAGGTTTATTTATTATGGCTTGTTTACGTTTGGAACCAGTTATGTGAGGTAGACGACAATTGTTCGTATTTGACATCCACCTCCCCCCCTTGAGTCAATCGAGCCCGTTCAGACCTAAGAGAAGAGGTGACAATACGGGGGCGAAAATGAACCACTTTTCTGTCAAACCCGAACCAGCTCCTGATTGGCCGTTTTCATGTGCGTAAGATAGAGATAGAGATAGATAAAGATAGAGATAGAAATAAAAGAGTAAGAAGCCAATTGTCACCTCTTCCTCTTACACGGCGAATGAGAACGACCCAAATTTGAGTTTAGTTCACTCATAATCGCCAAAAGTGCAGGAACTCAGCGATGAGTAAAATTTGTCCCATGGTTTCCTGTGGAAAACCTAAAAAATCTGCCGGAAAATTTTATTCAGTCTCGGAGTAGTACCAATAGACTGAGTGAATCCAATCTTTACTTTTCTCAAATTCGGGAATTTTTCCCTGGAAAATCCTGGAGAAACCTGGGAAAACATGAGACAAATTAACTCATCGCTGACTTCCCGCACTTTTGGCGATTATGAGTGAACTAAACTCAAATTTGAGTCGTTCTCATTCGCCGTGTAGGTTCAGACTAGCTCGCTATTCTAGGATTGGGCGATCTTCAGAGAAAGATTGATCTTGACGGATCGATCTTATATTTAACTCTAGAATCGACCCACTGATTAAATCAGTACCAAAGAATCGATCTTTGATAGATCGATCTTTTGATTTTTATTTCAATACGCTTGTTTACGTTGGTACCCAAATAAATTATTTCCTTTATAATATTCAATTAAATGTTTTCGTGACGGTGAGGGGCTGTTCATTAACTACGTAGACAGTTTTTTGGGATTCTTGAACCACCCACCCCCTCTCCCTGTGCATATCAATTTTTTTTAATTTGTATGGGCCGTGTTCCCAACCCCCATAACCTGTCTACGTCGAGGGGGATGACTCTATCTACGATGCAGAAAAGATTGTGTTTTGCTGTGGCTAGCTGCGCGCACGCTGAGTAGATAGAAAGAAGATTGATGACGATTCTGAAGATTTCCTGCAAAAAGATGATGCGCGATGCAATTAGATGCGAGAAATGAAAGAAGATTTTTCGAAGATTGATTCGCTAGTGTGAGTTTTGATGAGCATCTTAACTTGAGATTTAGATGTGTCACCCCTCTAGGTCTACGTAGTTTATGAACAACCCCTAAGGAGCAATGAGCACAGGAGGGAGGTAGAACAAACCTTCAAATGTTGCTGTATTCGTAAATATCGAAAACGCAAATAGGGACGTCATTGTAGTAAGCGATGCTGATGTTGACGTTATGTTCGTTAAATTTACTACGCAGTCTGCGGTGAGAGTAAATCGTTTTTTCGATGTAAATATACTTTACAAAAATTTGAAGATCGAAAAGATCGAAAGAAGAGATCGATTTTTTCAATCTTTTCGTGGACAAAGAATCGATCCGAAAAATCGGAAATCGGGATGAAAAAGATCGATGTTCCAAAGATTGATGTAAGATCGCCCAATCCTACGCTGTTCTGTTAACGATTTTTAAAGCGGACAGTCGCTGCACGGATAGAAATCTCCTTATACCTTTTAGCAAATTTCTATTGCTGATTATTCATAAAATTTATAAGTCAACTAATAAGCAGACGCCTTGCAAAAAGTTAATGAAGATCATGTGTCAAATGAAATGTACAAACAGTCACACATACCTTTTATGCATTCTTATAGGACCTATGTGGTTTGTCTTACGGAATGTATAAGGCTGATGTTTTGGCAAAAATGTATAAAAAAAAAAAAATCAGTTTGACCGCCCACGGTTGCTGCTCTGTTATTACCAGATCAGCTGCAATTACACAGAGAACCAACAGATGATGTTTGGGACTAACATTCATCCTCAATGTGTAAGAACTGGAGATCTAATATTTAGCAATACCAGCGCCGGCCGTGTCCGAATGCAGGTCAACTAGGGAATGGGAAGGAATGTGTTGACGTGGTACTCGCTGTGAAGGAAACCGAGAAATCCTCTGCGCTTCCACGAGAAATCACTGGGATGTTGGATGCGGGGAAAGGTTGCACGCACACGCAGGGATCGTTTTTGGTAGAGCGATTATAATACACAAACACACACACACACACACACACACACGCGCGCGCACTCATCCAATTTCTATTTTTAGATCAGGACCCACACTGTGGTAAGTGATGCGATCGGTGTTAAAGAAGAATAATTTGTTTTCATTAAAATCTAGTGGGTATAGAATAAGGCAAAGTGAAAAATTGCAAGGAAGGGGACGGGCCTGGGATTGAACTCCCGACCTTCTGCTCAGTAAGCAGAAACGGTAACCACTGAGCTACCGAGCCTCGTCTGTTTTGGCAAAAATGTATAGGTGAAACACATGAATAAAATAATTGATTTTCGTTTCGTGTGGTGTGGATCGCGGAAGAGCTTGGCTGGCATCGCCTTTGACAGTGAACAATGGAAGAGGCTTGAAATCCGAGCTGAAACCTCCAGTTCACGACACATTGAAGCTTCCCTCAGTGTTTTTTGACGTTTCACAAGCCAACCAAGTTAGTGAGTGGAATTCACTAACTGGGCTATACGCTTTTAGCCCAGTTAGCGAACAAGTACTGTATGTCTAACGGAATTTATTGCATTTGCACTATTTATCAGCTCAGGTTTGCCCCATCCGATTATGCTGTTAATTTGCGTTCGGTTGGCAAGGAAAAAACTCAAAACTTTGTTTATAAAAATAGATAGTACCTTTTCAATTATTGGTCTACAATATATTGAATTGGTTCCGCTTTTTGATAGCTCACAATTCTATCCGCCAGACTATAAATATAGCGAAGATATATCAGGGACGTGTTGGGAACCCGCGATCTTTGCTATATACAGTGGATTTATGTGTTTCTGCAAATTTCTAATATAAGAATTTAATTCCTTTGTCTTTTGTCTCTCTTTAATAGTTTTCGTTTGTCTTGTCTCCCCGTCTCGATGAGTCTCGTCGTCGCCCAATGGTCACCATAGCCGGTCGAACTCCAGACGAATCTAGAACCGCAGTACTATTGATACTGGCGACAACGAACCCCCACCCCATGCTCCTCCCCTGATCCCATCCTTCGACAATGTACCCCTCTAACCTCTGGTAAATTAATTCCTAAATTAGTCCCCATTTATGCGAAATGGCAGTTATGTCAAATGACATTATATGCTAAACGGTATTATTGCCAACTGAGTTAGAGCCAGGTTGAAAAGTTGTAAATATACATAAGGTATTCAAGTTATATCGACACAAGGTACAAAAATTAAAAATATGCATGTTGATAAGACAAAAACAAATCACAATGTAGACACAAATACACACAAACACATGTACACAAAAGGAAAACAAAAGCATCAACCATTCGAAAAGCTATGCTTCGGCACTAACCTAAATGGCGAACGCAATAAAGGCCCGTCTGGTAAAAAATGACTAACGGAAGTTCGACAGTTCGATTTTGGTCGGTGGCTTTTGGCTTTAGGTGAAACAATGTGCTAGCTGCCCTTGGATCCCGTTCTCGGTGTCCGTCGTCACCTCGTCGCAGGACGGCGCTTCAGGATCCAAATGACACTACTAATTAAATGATCTCTATCGGTTGCTGTTAGGACGAGGGACAGACAGCAGCGTCAGACGACAATTGTCGCCGGTGATGGTGATCGTGATGATGATGGTGATGATGATGACGGCCACCGTGTCGTCGGGCCGAGTTTGGCGGGTCTAGCGTTTCCGAACCGGATGAGCTTTCGCTGAGCTCCAGTTCGCAACCTGATCGGCGGCGACGGTTTTATTTTTTATGTTTAAAAGCAATGACAATTTTCACGGAAATAGAAGAACAAGATTTATGCGTTAGCTACTGACATACACACGATGAACGGCGATTGAGGGCGATCGTGGTGGTTAGTTACATCATTTGAAATCAGATAAAGCGGCTACAAAGCGATCTTCAGAGCTTGATGGGGACGGTTTGCAATGGGGGATCTTACCTGCCACGGCTCGTTCGACGTTTCGTCGGTCTCGCAGGATGTACATCGCCGTGAGGAGGAAGAAAACACCGCCGATGATTTCCACGAAGCTCGTCGAGAACAGAGCGTACTGTAGGGCCCGGAACTGTACGGAGGCCGAGTCTGTATCGATATGGCTTACCGCTACCAGCGGCGCCAGAGTGGTGCTAGTCGTAGTGGTAATAGTGGCATTTTCTGCCAGCTGAGAATAGCTGGCTAGGTCCGGCGGGAAGACGGCATCAACTCCGACGGCCGAAAGTCGAAGTAACCGTTTGATCGCTTCCGAAATCTGAAGATATTAGAATTTATAATTTCACAGCTATAGGCACAGGACACCGAATACTCACCACTCCAACAAAGTACGGACTACCGGCATCGCCGAAGGCATGTGAGATCAAAATCTGGAACGCTTCCGCCGTGGATCGACGCGTAGGCACGACAACGTACTGTTTGAAATGGAATACAAAGACACTTATTATAGCGAAGGTTTCGCGTGTGAAGTGATATGTGGTTGACAAATATTCTCACAGAGGGACGCACGCAGCGATGTGCAAAATATGGCAAAACGAGCGAAAATGGTTCGACGCTTGGCTGACGATTCGCAACTAGACGACAACAGATGCCGCTAGTGGTCATTTATGGGAAAAGGGGGCGGCAGTGGTCGTGCGAAATTTTTGCTCTAGATAATTAGTACAATAGATTTGTGTGATTTAGGTTGAAATTGTGGAATCGTTAGTACATTGAACTAAATGTTAGTGAACTTAAGTAGATTGGTGTGTTAGTATCTCGCGCGGTGGCCCTACTCTAATATACACGACAACATACGACTTTAATATTTTTCTTAAAGCTAACACTGGATCAATTAGCTTTTCGCCCTCAATTGGGCAAAATGTGTGCAAGATACTTCACTTGAGCATTGACTTTTGATTCGAAAATGTTGAAATTAATTTTGTTTTTTTTTGTTTGCAATGCAATTAAAGCAGAAACTGATAAAGCGTCACACGTTAGATCGAAACGAAATTAGCGAAAAAGTGTTAGCACGGGTGGTGGACGGTTTGTAGGATGGCAGTCAAACACAACAAAATTTAGATGGATGGCTGACACTCTCGAAGCCCCCCTCCTGTTGGTGGCGGCAGTGATGGTGGTTGTTTATTGCTCGAAATAAACTACCGACCGGTAGAAAAGAGTTTCCTTCGCAGGCGAAATGAACAGGAAATGAATTTTAGTTTTATGCTTTGTTCCAAGTTGTTGGATTTCTTTTGCGAGGTGATCGGGCGCGAATCGTATACGATAGTGTGGCACGCAAAACGTGCATTATTCTCGTCGTCAGCGCTTATATGGTTGTTGGTAGGGAAAGGAAATGAGAGATGTGTTCTTGACTTAAATATAAAATAGGGAAGCGGGCAAAATGCGGCTGTGTGCAAGGTAGGTATCATGATTTAAAGAATTCCCTGGGTTGCGTGGGTGAGTGTCGGTGTACGTACAGTGCTACCTAGTGCAGTGTGTAATATGCTTTGGCGCCGGCCGGCAGGAACATGCAATTTCGATTTATGCGATTAGAAAAGCAAACGAGGGGTTCGCTTTAGGGTAGCAGCTATTTATGCTGGATCGGGCAGGCAAGTTGGGTAAGGTTGGAGAAATTAATTGATTCGAATGCAATTGGATGGATTCAGTGGAATAAAGATACATGAAGAGTAGATAATTTCCATTCAAATAAACTTGTGGCCGTAACTTTTATCCTTGGCAGAGGCACGTACCCTGTTTACGACTTGCAGACTTCCTGAAGAAATGCAAATAACTTATTTTAGAAGAGGGTTAGTCATCCTTCCTGCTATATTTCCGTTTATATTTAGCTACCTATTGCAACATCCTTTTTGTAGAAATCAAGTGAGAAATTATACGTTGGCATGCTATGCATCATCATAAGAACTAGACCCTTATTAACTGATGTCACCTCACGGTAAAGTGACAACTTATCACTCACGGTCAAGTGATTCCCACTTGATTTAAACGGCAATCACTTCGCCGTGAGTGACAACTTCACTTCGTTTTCACCGTAAAATGGGCCATAATCAAGATTTTTTAAAGATTCAGACAACCACCCAGTAGGTCTTGTCTACCTGGTCCAGTAAAATGATACACTTACGACGCCTAGTGAAAGACTTCGGTATCGAACTGAATTTTAACAACTTTGACAACGCATTCAACAATATACTGTTAACTATACAATAGTCCTTGTCCATCTGAACAATTTTATACAAAGAAAACAACCTCCTATCTAGTTAAAGTTAGAGCGAGCAATTAGAAGCTCAATGTTACAGTCTCCATTTGGGAGTGAATTCTGTACAGAACTGTTCACCATCCAATAGATCTTGTCTTGTCAATCTAAACAACTGTGCTGAAGACAGCAACCTCTTATCTATTCGAGCAATCTAGTTAAGCAATCAGTCAAATGACACATTATTCAATAGGTTTTGTCCTTTTGAACAATTTCGCCTAAAAAAAAATCTTTTACCAAATTGAACCACCAAGTTAAAGCTAGCAGTGGATCGCATCAGTCGAGCTGTTTAAAATGACGTTTCCTACCACTCGAACTTTGCCGTGGAACAATATCTGGATTTTATTAAGTGGGGAGTACACTTTTATTTTTCAAAAAAATGCATTTTTTTTGCTTAAAATGTTCCTTGGGATGTATACTTTAATTTAGAAAAGACTCCAAGTGCGCCAGAATATTCCTTACCGCTTTACGAAGCGATTTCCTACAACATGTACCGGCGCGCTGAGAGAGCAATTTTATCTTTAAACGCGTTTATCTCGAAACGGGGTTTTTCAAACTGGCGTGGGAAATAACTCTAACAAGTTATCATCAATTCTGCTTAGAAATACGTATCCACATTTTTGATTTTGTCTAAAATGGATTTTTAATCCACGATTTTGTAAGCATTTTTAGGGTGAAAAAATGGACTTTTTTTTTCCTAAGGCCACAACTTTTGAAAAAATCAATTTAAAAAAAAATCGGAATACGTATTTCTAACCCAAATTGCATTACTAATCAGGATTTTTGTTCGATTCATGTTCCAGGATCACATGGAAAGGAGTATTTTCCCACGCCGTTTTCCGACTTCCGCGCGACCTGGTGCACCGGCCACGGGGAGACGCCAATCGAGTTAAAAAAAAATACAAATTGTAGTTCGAAGGATGACTAATAAATGGGTTATAACATATTTGCCCTCCCTGAGTGTTTTATTGCTTAAAAAAATTAACGGAAATGCCTTACTTTTTGGACGTTCAAAGTGTAGTACCCCCTTAACTTCTAGAACCTCGAGAAAATAGAGTCTTTTTTATGCTAAGCTTCAAAATCTGCAATTTTGATGTTTATTTTTTTAAATCGCTGTTAGAAGGTCGTCCAAAAACTGCTCAACAATACGAATAATTAAAAATCAAATGTTACAATAGAGTTTGAGATCCGATTAATCAGTATCGCTAAACTCATAGCCTGAATAAAATTTTCCTCGAATGAGTAAATCCTGAACAAAATCTGCTCAAATGTGACATTTTCTCTCAATCTTGGATTTTTTTGACACCACTGCGACCAGTAATTTGATCTATTGTAGTATATCTCGTGTCCTTAGTTTAGTGCATGTCGTATTACTCCATCACTATCAGGGCTGGTAGTGCTGATGCGATATAATAGTAGTGACTTTGGCGACTAAAATTACGGAAATAGTGACCAAATAGTGACTTGTAAATACTAAATAAGTAACCATTTATACGGTAACTTAGAAATTCAAATACGGTTTGATATTGAAATAAACTTTTTATGTCATGGAACTTAAAATCAGATTTCATAAATTCCTCTAATTCAATCGAATCTCACAACGGGATCTCCTGTGAAGAGCATTTGAAGTGATTTGAATAATTTACTTTTGCATGTATGACTAGCAAATAGTAATTCCCATTTGTTATGATCTTGAATTTGATTCTGCGTTCGAGATCTTTAAATATTTAATATATCTAGGTAGATAACTTTGATAATTTGCTATGAACTTTTGACAGAATTTTTTCAGAATGATCTCAAGAACTTTTTGAGAATAATTCCCCTTCTCTTAAACTTAGAAAGTAGAAAGCGAACAAAGGACAATTTTGAGGAAGGTACGAATAGGAGAGAGCTTCTCCTTTACCAAGCTCATCCGTTAATGAGGGATGGTGAGGGGTGTTTCCCCCTGCCACCACTGGCACAAGGAATGATCGCCGATTTGCTCATGTACCTTCGATGTGCGGAAACAGTTATATCGATTGTTTAACACCCAAGTCGCCATCTGACGTAAACAACTACCCGATTTGTACTTTCCTCAAAATCGTCCTTTGCTCGCTTTCTACTTCCTATATACAATTTTCGCACTGCCGTACTATAACGGAATTATCAAGTCTATAATTGAGATCTATCGTAATCTCCACTATAAGTCTGATATTTGACGTTAAGCATCTTCGATTATGTAAATCGTTAAATTCACGTATGAAGTGACCTGATTAGTAGATTATTTTCGATATTTAATTGATTCTTCTAGAAACTCCTCCATAAATCCATCCTTAGCATTTTTGCATGCAATTAACCTTAGAAATTTCATAAATTTCTGCTTAGAATAATCTTAGACTTCTCCCTTGCATTCAATTGGAAATTCAATGCGTATTCTCCTTAGAATCCCCATAATATTTCCTCAGAATTCTCAAAACAAAAATCCATCACAAACTTTGAAATTCTTCTCAGAATTCCTTAAGCGTAGTCTCCTTTGAGATTGAACCCTCAAATTTCGATTCCATTGGGATTCTTCTCGGAATTTACTTCGAGACCATCTTTGGAGTTCACGGCGTTTTCATGGAATTTTCATCAGGGGGTTCTGCAAAAAGTAAAATTTCAGAACTAATTTTGATTTTTTTTTAGAATTGGACCTAGAATCCTCATCCAATCATCATAGAATTCTTCTAAGAACTCTCGTTAAAATGCATTTTTCGACTTGTGAAATTTCAATTTAATTCCACTTAAATATTTTTGGTATCCATGACAGATACGTATTTCGACTACGATGTGCAGTCTTCATCAGTGTCTTTCCCACTAAAGACTTACCAAAAATCTAACCCTCTTAAGTACTCATTCCCTAGGTAAAAATGTCAAGATTACAGGTATATATATAAATGAAATACAATGTGTAGAATTCCAAGGGGGATTTGTAGAATGTGTAGAATTCTCTCAAGGGCATTTTGAAAACAATTTCATGTGATTCTGAAAAACAGTCCCATGAAATTCTGATATTAATTCCAAGGTACTTTTGGGACAATACTTTGGGAAAAACCTGGAGTGAATCTGATGGACATACGAAGAGATTGTTGAGGAACATTCCACGGGCATTAAAAAATATATACATGGAGATGAACTTAAGCAATTACCGTTCATACTGGCGACAACGCTCTGATGAGACAACGAAACCTCACCCCCAACGGGAAGCTCCTCATGTGATCCTATCCTTTGGCAATATACCCCTCTAACCTCGGGTAAGCCGCGAGTTCTCGGCCCACCTCCCACTAGACTTAGCGATAAGTGAATTTTGTTACAAACAATGAACAATGAATTATCGGCTCCGTAAAGCTGACGCGATTGATGGAAGGCTCAAATGAATCCTTAAAATAACTGATTCAATGATTCAGTGATGTTATGAAAATGTACGTCTATTATTGATAAATGTGTATGTAAATGAAATTCATGATAAAGGTTCACAACGGATGGGAATTAAATGTTGGACGAAATCAATGTTAGTGTGCTTCAATTTGGGTCGCCAACTTCCTCAAACCATACCGACGTAAACCTCTGTACAGGTGCTCGGAAACAATGAAGTTAGTAATACCATCCACCAACAGGTTGAGAGAAAGCAACAGAAAAATAACAAGCTATTTGAACAGAAGAAAATCGGCAACAACCAATTTCGAAGCCTGGAAACCATGAACAAATCGCTCGAACAAATTAGGTCACTTCTTTTTTTTAGCGATAAGCGACGTTCATGTATTTCCAGGCTAAAATCCAATCAAGGACACCTAATCGGAACGTAACCAAACCACTTGCGCTCAATGCTAAATTGGCTGCATCTCTGTGCCGAAAACAAAACCAAAAGATTTGTGCCGAAAGAAAGTCCCAGTCAAATTTCGTGTGCTGTGAGAATATTTCCGCAACCGGATTGGCTACCACTTACAACGCGGATAGTATCTGTATCCGCTTCTTACCAGCAAAATATCCGCAACAATTGCCCAATTGAGATTCAGTGTTAGCTCTGCGAAAAATATTAAAACGTACGCCAACGTCGGGTTGACGTTGACCGTGAGCATCGCGCCGGCCAGCAGCGGGGCACTCAGGATAAGCCCGATGGCACAGATGTAGGCATCCGCCCGCGGATACTTGCGATTGAAGCGCTGCGACAGGTACGACCCCAGCGGCACGCCGATGATGCCGGTCGCCATCGTGATTGCACCGAAGTTAAACGACACGCTATGGGTAGGAGGAAGATTTTTGATTGTTAGAGTAACTGTTTTAAGAGATTATTGATTGTTTTTTTTTTTAAAGAGATTATTAAAGCGAGCGTATCCGTGATCTCTGCGGTCGTCCCCGTGTTGAACAGTCGGCGTGATGGTTCCTTACCAGCAGTATGTCGGCCACAATCGACCAGGTTAGGTTTAGCGAAACTTCGGCGAAGAAAACCAGGAAGAAGCACCAAGTTCCGCTGTATTTGGTCACAACCAGCGCCAGATAGATGAGCGGAGAGCTGCAAAACAGCCCGCCAGCGCAGATCATCGGATCGCAGGATGGATACAGAGGACGTAGTTTCCTTGCCATGTAGGATCCCGCTGGGACGCCGACCAGTCCCGCTAGCATTGCTATTATCCCAAACTTATACGACACGCTTCGGGAGAGGTGCAAAATGTTATCCTGAAATGATACTAGGTAATCTAGGGAAAAGAAGCTGTGGTACTTACTCGTTGAGGGTGATATTTTCGTTGCCCGGTTGCGAGACGAGTCCTAGATAGATGAACTTTGGTCCCCACCAAGCTAGGGCGCCGGCGACGAAGGCAACACAGGTAAAGCCTGCCGTGGACAGCATAAACGAGGGATTCCTCACGATATCTTTGATGTCTTCCCGGTAGGAGGTAGCTTCCATATGGTGCGATCCTTCGCTTTGGCCACGCTCCGGATCACGGATCAACGCAATTAGCACGACTGCAACGATACCCAGGATGGGAGTGACACGAAGTGCATAAGCCCATGAACCGAAGAATTTGGCCGTCTCCGAACCGACGATGTACCTGTGATAAATTGAAATCATGTCATGAAGCGAAACTATAGTACTGTGAGTAGCAAAATGCTTACCCCAATCCAGACCCAACCGGAATGGCAAAGTAGAACAGTGCAAGCATCTTCGAGCGCAAATCACCGACGAACAGATCGGAGATGATGGTCGGAGCGATCGTACTGTAGGACGCTTCGCCGATACCGACCAACGCCCGGAATGTGATGAACCATCCGAAACTGTTCATGAACGAACCGAGCAGGGTAGTCGTGCTCCAGAGCAGCACTCCCAGGGCCATGATCCATTTGCGAGAGTACCGATCGCCCAGGTAGCCGAAGATCGGTGCACAAATCATGTAGGACAGCACGAAGACCGTCTGCAGTAGGCCACCCTCGTCATCGCCTATTTGGAACTGGTCCTGGATATCTTTCAGTACACCTGCAAAATGATACGACAGAAAATGGAATTGAGTTAATTTGGCGAATTACAGTTCTGTTCGTGTGTGTGTGTGGGATGTGAGAGAGAGTCAATGAACGAGAGTGTGGAAAACCGGCAGACATGTCCCAAATTTACATTGCTAATTTCTAGAAGCTGATGGTCATGTTTCTGTCCTTCCGCTTCTTTTTGTTTGCGATGAAGCGAATTTGAATATTTGCTCGATAAAATGGTTTTTTTTTTACGCGGATTACAACCGGATTCAATTGTCAGAGCTCGTTAGCTTGCCTTCACAGTCATTTCGTTTTGAGATGCAATTAGCACCTGGGAATGGATGCGCGAGATGTGACCATGTCGAGTCGAATCACATGATGTTTTTAGAAAGCGCTAGAACTGTGAAACTGCAATCAAATCGAGTTGGATGGAAACGATCAACCTTCATGATTGATGGGACAGCGTGAATGCAACTTCATCTACTCTTCTACTGGTTAACCATTTTATTAGCAGGCATAAACTATAACCATATACACGGCAGCGACAGCTGGGTGATGATATTAGTTGCAGCTCGAAAAGTGTGATCAGATGTAACATTTTTATGGCCACTACTTACAACTCCCCGGGGGAGTAGAGTGGCTGATGGCGTTGTATTTTTAGAAAAAAAAGGGTTTCGGGATGCACCTTCGCAGATGCCCCGCTCTGGGCGGCGATGCAGGCCAGACTTATATTTTCAATCATAAATAAGCAGTTCTAGCCCAAACAGCGAAAAACTAAACAAATTTTAGATTTGAGCTCTCAGAATTCCATAAAACTTCACATAATTGTTTAACCCTAGAGAACCTAGTTTGTCCTGGAATTGGGTTGCTTAGGTTTGAAAAACATACCGGTTTTTATACATCATTTGAAAGAGCTTCGTTTTCTGAGCACATCGATATTTTTATCGATCCCATAGACGTGCATGCTAATTTTTAAATCAAGATTTAAATGTTTCATCTTTTGTCGCGTAAATCAATTAGTTGACAGCTCGCTCCCATACAAAGTTCCAGCGAGGGGCGCTAAGATGGTCATTTTTGCTAAAGTAATCGCACTTATATAAAATAGTTCCAGTGTACCAAAATCGATGAAATTTTGGATTTCGGTTCAATTTTTAGTGTAGATTACAGGGTGGCAAGTGAATTTCCATTTTGAAATTCCTGGTTTTCCTGGTCAATGATTTAAAAATGTCCTGGTTTTAGAAACCATGTATTTAAAAAAAACAGTTGATAATAAAAAAAAATAAAGTGAATCCTTGTACCATCATTCTTCGCGCAATGCGGAATTTCACAAACCAAAATAGGTATTGAGGTTCTTGGGAATGCCCGTGAAATCTTTATCTGATTGTTTGCTGTAAAGAAGCTAGAAGGAAGCCGCGCTACTTCGTCGTATCATGGCGCCTATTTTCGTTCTATGTGCTAAAACTATAATAGCAAAGCATTTTCACTCATGTTTTTGCAAAAACATCTTTGCTTACAAGAATAATTACGATTGACACTGAAACATTTGCGATAACCCGTAAAATGAGCGGTTTTAGGGGTGTATGACGAAGAAAAGCTGAGATACGACGGACTAGCGCGGAGCCCTATATAATGTCTGAAATTTAGAGATCTATAAGCCCCTAAAAGCTTGAGATTTCTGTTTTTTAAACTTTATTATTGAGATTTTTAGTTTATCTCAAGGTGAAATTGCGAAGTGTTATATGAATGAGGACTCTTTAAACAAACCTTTGCTTCTAACAATTTTACGGATTTCCAGTTTGTTTAAATTATCCGCAAATTGTCAACGATTAAGGATCTTATTTAGCGGAATTTTGGTTACAACATGATTTCAAAATCATATGATTAAAAGATTTCATAAACAACGCTGGTTTAATAACTCTTATTATTAAAAAAACTGACTGCTGAAGTTCATAGAAACTCCCTAAAGTTTGTAGAACTTCCCTGAAGCGTTAAGGTCTTTCTTGAAGGGTTCATTGAAGTTTGAATTGCCTGAATTTCATGGGACTTCCCCGAAGTTCGAAGGACTTTTTTTTGAGATCTTAGGACTTCCCTGAAGTTCGGAGTATTTTGAAATTCATAGGAATTTGTTAAATATCTTAGAAGTACCACGAAGTTCGTAGAAATTCTCAGAAGTTCGTAAGACTTCCTTCAAGTTCGAAGAACTTTCTCGAAGATCTGAGGACTTCCCTGAAGTTTGAAGGACTTAACTGAATATATGAGGACCCTAAATTTAGAAGAGCTTCTCTGAAGTTCATTAGGCTTCAAATATCGAAGGATTTTCCAAAAGTTTGTGGAAATTTCCTGAAGTTTGGAGAGCTCCCATGAATTTCGTAGGACTACCTGTAGTTCAATCGACTTCTCGGAAGTTCTAGGAACTTTTTTGAGCTTGGAGAACTATGTTAAGTTCAGAGGACTTCCCAAGAGTATTGAAGACTTCTCTGAAGCTCGGAAAAAAATCCATAAGTGTCATAGGATTATCCTTAAGTTTTAAGCAATGCCTAAATGTCGTAGAAGTTACATTAAGGGGAAGCTTACCGGCCCGAAAATAAAAAAAATATTTTCGGTACATTTTTATTTCTTTAAAAATATTGGGAAAAAATATCAAAAATCAAAGAAAATCAGTTTGTTCCTTAGATTTTTGTCAAAAATTACATGTAATTTTTTTTTCTATCTCATCATGAAAAAAAAATTGGACTCTCAGCAAAACCGAAAAGTTGATGTTTTGTGGTTTTTTGAGTCCAACTTTATGCCATAATGACTTATAAAAAATGATTTTGAACGCGAATTTTCTTTGAAAAATAAAAAAATATGTGATTTTCTTAAAATTTTGATATCTTTTTCCAATATTTTTAGAAAAATCAAAACCTAATTATTTTTTTCGGAGCGGTGAGCTTCCCCTTAAATCTGTAGAAAATTCTGTAAAACTCGTAGTTATTCCCCAAAGATTAAAGGACTTCCCTGAAGTTCGTAAGACTTCGCTGAAATTTGTAGAACTTCTCTGAAGGTTCGGAGAGATTTCCCGACCGTCGTAGGTCATCCATCACAGTAGTTCACAGGATTTTCCTGAAACTTGTAAGAATTTCCCGAATATTATAGAACTTGCATGAAGTTCGAAGGCCTTATCTGAAGTTTTTAAGAATAAAACTTTTTTATTGAACACGTTGAACAGGTACTTCAAAGTAGTTACGCGTCGGCACTGCTGTCAATTAAGCACAAATGCTCCTTTAAAATAAAACACATTATGGTTGAAGGATTCCATAAATTAGATTAAGAAAAAATATTATTTGTTCAATTGTTATTAGGTAATCAATTAATAAATTTATTAATTCAATGACGAAGTGCATTGACCATTTCCTCACTCTGTACTCATTTTTCTGACTCAATTTACGACAACAAACAATTTATTAAGAGGATTTTAAGGCTCAGATCGCTAATTGGTGAATTTGACGAAAAATTAAGGCACAGAGAAAAATGTTCTAAGACTCGAACTTAGACAAATTTTGACAATTTTTAGCCCGGTTTTTTTTTCGGTTCGCTGGCCACCCTGCTTAGAAAAGTCTCCACAAAATTGCTTTGCAGTTTTCGTCAGAACTCTCCTTGAACTATCATTGGAATTGCCTTGGATTGCATCTTCTAAATTTACCATGACTCCTACTCAGAGTTCGCATGGAATTCTACTCAGGACTACCATGGAATTATTTTTGCGTTGCACCTGGAGTCTGGAGTTTCTCAGAACTAATTTGAAAATAAAAATCCTCAGATTTCACTTTCCTATAAATTCATACTTTGATATTCTGCTCTTCTTCTTCTTCGCATTTCAAGCTTATTGCCTATCGCATATTAGCTTATTGCGTGCTTTCAACTTAGTGTTCTAGATGCACTTCCACAGTTATTAATTGAGAGCTTTCGATGCCTGTACCATTTTTGCATTGGTATAATTGTGTGGCAAGTCCAATCATACTTTTATGCCCAGGGAAGTCGAGACATTTTCCAACCCGAAAAATTCCAAGACCGGACCGGGAATTGAACCCTGCCACCTCCAGCATGGTCTTGCTTTGTAGCTGCGCCTTTACCGACTGAGCTAAGGGAGGCCCCTAGATATTCTGCTCTGGATTCCTTTGAAATAATTCCTAGAGATCCATGGAAATTATCTTCAAATTTAATTATTAAAGCTCATAAGCTTCGACATTTTTAAAAAGACCTCAAATCACAAGACTCGTTTGGAGGATGTTGGCTGGGATATTTAGTTTCATTTCAAATTCTTGAAAGTTTCTTCAAGTTTGGTTTCATTAGGTGTAAGGTTTCATAAAATAGTTCCAGGCCGCTGCCATGCTGACGCGGAAAGCGAAGCTTTGAGTGGAGCGTGCACAGGAATTGTTAGTATAGATATTATTCCTTACATTCGATTTTTCGTTTCACTCGACGCTTCGCTTTGCTTTCCGCGTCAGCATGGCGCGATCTAAGTATAAAATCTGAATAAATTATCGATGTTCCAGAACCTTATAAAACACACAATTCCAGCCTAAGAATGTATGTTGTAACTGAAAATATATCCACTACAGAATTATAATGTTCAAAGAGTAAATGTAACTATCGAGGAAGATAAAGTTGATTGTATTATACAATATTTTAAAAATCAGAAGAAGGTTAATTTGATAAAAGAATTTGAAAATTCCCTGGGAATTCCAGGTTTTTCCAGGTAAAATAATGACATCGGCATCATGACACGGAACTTTGAGACGATGGCGGAAACGTACATCAGACTGAAGGCTGAAGCTAGGCGGATTGGACTTGCCATCAATGCATCGAAGACAAAATACATGAGAGGAAGAGGTTCTAGGGAAGACAATGTTAGCCTCCCACCCCGAGTTCAGATTGACGATGACGAAATCGAGGTGGTCGACGAGTTCGTGTATTTGGGCTCACTGGTGACCACCGAAAACGATACCAGTAGAGAAATTCAAAGACGCA